ACTCTATACGAACGAAAAAAAATGATGGATCGCCGGAAAGAAGCAAGAAAGTACGGAAAGCAGCACCTAACACAGAGCCGCGACGCAAGACGACTTTCAAAAATCACACTACGCGCGTCTTCACCTTAGAGCACTTCTTGGAACTTTAAGGACCCTTACGTAATACTTCGTTACGTGTTATGGTTGTTTCACTATGTGGGGGTATTTTCGTGGATTTCGAAAGCTCGGCGGTCTGTCACGCTTGCGTCAATGTGGGTATTTTCAAATATCTGTCCCAGCCTTCAGTAAAGACGAAGAATTAGGTTCTGTTCACACAGAAAACTTATCTGTATACTTGGCGTGGTATAGATCGGGGGATTAGGGCACGGTACTGTAACCTACAGAAACTCTAAATCTATCCACTTACAAGTGCTGGAAGATCACGAACAGCACGACATTTCAATAGCGTTGCCGAGAGTAAAATGACTAGCACAGAGCTGACTAAATGCATGTATGGTCTACACGACGGCTTTCACGCATCTAACGTTGCAATAGTTTCGCTGTACTTTCCTTATCCACATAGGCAGTTCGCCACCAATTTGCTGACCTCCTAAAGGGTTGTAAACTTGTTGGGCCCTAGTGGCCAGATGTATCCAAAGACCGTCAGTCTCTAGAAGCTCTTCACGAAATTTATCGTGTCGCACATATCAAGGACTTTTTATAACGCGAAGCCAGCTGAGCAAGCAGGATTTCGACAGGGATTTTGCTACATGAACTACATACAGAGTGTGTCCAGGCTCACTGAAGTCTGTTGGGAATACCACCTACCACTAGCCCTAACTTTTGTCCAGTGTGAAAAAGCGTTTGATAGTATCGAAACGGTGTATACGTATGAGATAATCTCTGTAATCAGAGAGCCATCAAGTTCGATCTGTTCGCCTTCCCTCCATGGGCTCTTCATGAACTGGGTCTTCTTCCTACTTATGCGCAACCCAATCTTTTCCCCACTTTGTCGATGTTACTGATCATTGCCTCTGCTTCGTTGCTACTTCTTGAGAAGAATCGAAGTCGTCGGCAAAACGAAGGTATGAAGGCAATCTTTCTTCCATCAATAGGTATGTCCTCCTGGTCCCCTTCCAATGTCTTCATTATCCTTATTAGCATTTCGCCCTCTCAAAACAGCGAAAATCCATTAACCTGAAGAGATTGGAAAGAACATTCCCCACAACCCGAAAATTTACCAATTACCAGACTATAACGATCGAACTGCGAAGCTCAAACGGGTAGGTGCCGCTTTTTAATGTGAAATGGAAAAGTCATGACTATTATGGTATCCTAGATAACCGCTTACTCCTACCTCACTGTGAAATTAAGTAAGATAAACACGTTGTCCCATTGGTTGCTTGTTCTTAGAACCGACATGATCTTTCGTCGATAGAGAATCGAACAATGTCTAGCTCCGAGGATCTTTTGCCAGTCGTAATAAACTCTTTCGAACGGCTCCTTATAGGTTACCTATCAGAATGCAAGGCTCCCCCTCAATGGAAGACCATCAAGATCATGATGGTGTGCAATAACGGAGACGAGAACACGGTCAACTATTATCGTTTTTGTTTGTTTTCTAACTCCTATAAATTATTCGCACAAGTCACTCTCGAACGGATTGATGGAACACAGGAGATGGAAAACCATGGGCTTCGAAAAGCATTGAGTACAACATGGCTTATCCTTTCGACTACGAGATTCATCGAAGTATCACAAGAAGGCGATAGATCGATCTGTTTCGCTTTCATCAACTGAAAAAAGCATTTCCATTCGGCTAAGACAGAACAAATCTGGGGGGGAGGCCGTAGCTAGTCGGTATATCAAGATCCTCTATGAGCTAAACAGAAGTCCTACAATCAAAGTCTCGCCACTTTATGAAGACATTAAAATCAAACGAAGGAGATAACTTCGATGAGGCGACATGGTCCCCCCAAAAGACAAGAATTATCAGAAAAGATTTAGATTCGAATCTAACGAATCTCATGTGTTATTAGGTTGTTAAACTACTCAGTTTTGTACCAAAAGTGGGCTTATTAACAAATTCGCGTTTCGACCCGAACGTGCACGAAAGTAATCGCGGCTTTCCGTTCTAAGCTGACATAGCTCACCTCATATATAGCATTAACAACAAAATTGTGCTAATCAAGATGAGACCCATAAAACGTGCACATCTCTGTCAACAAGGCGAGTATTCTTCTATTCACCAGGGCGAAATTCCGACTTTCTAACGCCCACAAAATAGCATTCTTCCGCTTCCTTTCATGCTAAGCGAAACTCACCTAATCGGAAAGCAACAACATTAAAGTTAGGAGTAGAAATGTGAAGAGGTTTCTGGCGGGTATAGCCATAGGCTGCTGGAAACTTAGAGCGGCCAAATTACAAAATTCCGACAGCTTCAGGGTTCGAATGGCGAAGCCAGTTGGACACGAGTGACAGTATGCTCCTCGCAGGTTCATCGTGGTGGGACCTACTCAGCGAGAATGCGTTCCACTGCACTGTTACGTTGCCTAAACCGCCGTTGATTGTTTGGCAGGCGCAAACGCTCCTTACCACCTGGTTGGATGAGCTCCTCTAACATTTCTCCACCTTTTTTTCCCATGATATCAGCACTAGCGGTTTTTGTTAGATGTGGAGCACTTGTACCTGGGTAAGCATCATCAACACGTTCGCGATAATGTGCGTTGAAACCAATGCCTGCCTGTTCGGGAATAACTGAGCTTTTCATTTTTGAAGAATCCCGCTTTGCCTTGCTGTGCACTGTGCTAATTGAAACACAAACTATTACAATCCGCCAGTGAAGTCTTCTTGTCCCTTAACGTGCACTTCTGATTCCTTCAAACCACACGTCATTTTTCGCTTCTTCGTCCACATTGTTTTTACCATCGAAAGTTCTGAGGAAACGAAATTGCGTCCAGAAGGACACAATAACTTATTTGAATGCATTCGCTGCAACTTGTTGCCGTCTTTCTTCACTTCAGCGCCTCAAATCTAGATCTGCCTGCCCTCTTTTTTCGCTGAAATCTCTACTGTGAACAATTCTGAAATTGAAACTGAATGTTTCATAAGATTATTTATGACATTAAGACGAAAGACAGATTCTGCAATTCGCCATGGTTTTCAATTCTTGCAGTCTTTTATCGATGAAAGAAATATCACCACAACGTTGCTGAGATATTTGCAAAACCCTGGACCGCAGGTGTCTATGGTGGGGAACGAACGCGCTATTATCCTTTCCGGGGGTAACGCGTTCACCACCACACCATGCGGGTCCTTTGTTTCGCACGTCTCTCAGCTATTTCTATCGATCTTTTTGCCACAGCAATCACCCGTCAGCGGGGTTGATCTGGGGAGCGCAAATCGGCATAGAACCCAGTTAAGCTATGGCTGTAGTTGAAATCACAATGTTTAACGTTTTGTTTTCTGCCTTCTATAATTTTCATGGCAGGTTATTAAGCGAAATACAACCACAACGTTGCTGAGATATTTGCAAAACTCTGGACCGCAGGTGTCTATGGTGGGGAACTGCGGCACCTAGACACCTGCGGTCCAGAGTTTTGCAAATATCTCAGCAACGTTGTGGTTGTATTTCGCTTAATAACCTGCCATGAAAATTATAGAAGGCAGAAAACAAAACGTTAAACATTGTGATTTCAACTACAGCCATAGCTTAACTGGGTTCTATACCGATTTGCGCNTAGCGCGTTCGTTCCCCACCATAGACACCTGCGGTCCAGAGTTTTGCAAATATCTCAGCAACGTTGTGGTTGTATTTCGCTTAATAACCTGCCATGAAAATTATAGAAGGCAGAAAACAAAACGTTAAACATTGTGATTTCAACTACAGCCATAGCTTAACTGGGTTCTATGCCGATTTGCGCTCTCCAGATCAACCCCGCTGACGCCCCGGAAAGGATAATAGCGCGTTCGTTCCCCACCATAGACACCTGCGGTCCAGAGTTTTGCAAATATCTCAGCAACGTTGTGGTTGTATTTCGCTTAATAACCTGCCATGAAAATTATAGAAGGCAGAAAACAAAACGTTAAACATTGTGATTTCAACTACAGCCATAGCTTAACTGGGTTCTATGCCGATTTGCGCTCTCCAGATCAACCCCGCTNAGCGGGGTTGATCTGGAGAGCGCAAATCGGCATAGAACCCAGTTAAGCTATGGCTGTAGTTGAAATCACAATGTTTAACGTTTTGTTTTCTGCCTTCTATAATTTTCATGGCAGGTTATTAAGCGAAATACAACCACAACGTTGCTGAGATATTTGCAAAACTCTGGACCGCAGGTGTCTATGGTGGGGAACTGCGGCACCTAGACACCTGCGGTCCAGAGTTTTGCAAATATCTCAGCAACGTTGTGGTTGTATTTCGCTTAATAACCTGCCATGAAAATTATAGAAGGCAGAAAACAAAACGTTAAACATTGTGAAAGAAATATCGTTTGTTCTCGAAAAAGCAGCTTCGTAGCGAATATGTTGGATTTCGACGGTTGAGCCGTTTCCACCTGATTTTTTCTTGCGAATTCGCATAACTCGTGTGACAGTAAGTTGTTTTCCTTAATGATAACTTCCAGGTTATTTACGAGTTCCGTACAGTCGTCTTCTAACCACGCCATTGCACCCGTAGCTACAGCATCTAAATGAGGAGTATTTCAACCGCTATTGAGGTGGCACCACAGATCTCCCTCGTATGAGGAATCTCGAGCCGGTTAGTCGCGAGGCTACCTGGCGCGTCCCCAGGTGGCCGATAGGGGGTTAATCGCGGGCCAAAAGCGTCCTTTGCTTCCCTGAAAGGCAGGTGGAGGACTCCCTGTTTCTGCTGCGCTGATTTGGCACGTACTTTCTGTATTTGCTAGGCGTATCATGCATGCATGTGTAGATGCGTTCTTGCTTATGCGGATTGTATTGTACGAGTAAATTCGGCCGAGAGCCTGCAATCAAGTGACTGGGGGGTATATGGGAGGCGGTTAGGAGTCGCCTCCAACAAATAAGTTCCATGTCTAGTCCGGGAGAGCCTGGCAAGCCACTCGTGAGTATACCCAGTTCAAACGTTCAGAGCCTAGCAAGCTATACGCGGGTATCAAAAGTGCTAAACACAGTAAAAAAAAAAACGGACCTCATTCCTCTGGCTCCGAAAGAGCCCCCAATTTTGCAGCGGTGGGTAGGACGAGTTCGGAGAGGCTGCAAAATTTTCAGGGTTAATGGAAGCCGCGTGGATCGCGAAAAACTAAGGTGACGATCTGTTTCTATAGAGCAGGTACACTTGCATCCTAGTCCTTGGTAGACGACTTGCTCATGCAAGCAAGAAGGATAAGATACGGTGCCATTGGTCTGGCCGAGACGAGTAGACACCAGCCTTTGAACGCCGTCTATGACACCGGAGAATTGTTCCTTGGAATATACGGCAGTAAAAGAGTCGGCGTTCTCGTCAATACGAAATTGTACATGAACATCGATCAATTCGAACAACTTACAACCCGAATCGGACGTTTACGATTAAGAAGACATGGATCAATTCCGGCTTCGATATTCTTCGTCGTTTACGCTCCCGCATAAAACAATGACGAAGAAGAAGTCGGAGCGTTCTATATGGACTTGCAGAAGTTCTACAGAGAAGACCACACATTCCTCAAGGTCATCATTGGAGATTTCAACACCAAGATTGGACCAAGAAGAACGTCTGAATAACGTCACATTGGGACCCACGGATTAGAATGGAACGAACAGGGTGGGCGGCTGTCTGTGTTTATCATGGCGACCGAGACAATCCATGGTAACTCGCAATTCCAGAAGAACTACCCTCAACGCTAGACGTGGGAATCTCCCAATGGAGAGTACCATAACGAAGTAGACCACCTTATAGTAAATAGGTTTTGCCTACCCGATGCCGCTGCTGTCCCAAAATTTTACACGGGATCAGACCATCGTCTCCTTCGTGCATGATTCTATTTCTCGCAAAGGAGAAAAAGCCGCTAAATTCCAAAACCGAAGTCCCAGAACCATCGTAAACTGGGATTTATTCAATTCATTAGTCGGCTGTTGGGAAAATGCCGTTCTCGCTAACAACGACGAAGAATACGTTCGGCTCATTCAACACCTTCTCGCTAGCGCTATGAAAGCTCAGAGCGCGGAAGTCACCAGGAGACGTTTGTCTCCGGAAACACTCGAGCTGATACGTCGACGTGTAATCGCACGAGCTGCAGGCAACCGCAAACTAACTCCCGAACTAGCAAAACAGTGCAGAGGGCGGTAAAAGAAGATCTTAGAGAGAGAAAACTAGCAGTAATGACCGAAGCTGCAGAGAGTGGGAAAAGCATCCGCAAAGCCCACCGAGGCTTCACCAATTACAAGACCAAAATTATTGCTCTCCCGCTACCAGACGAAACAGTTACAGCGTCCAGAAAGGCAATGGAGAAAATCATTCACGAATATTACTCGGATATCTTCGATAGCCACGTCCACCTTCCGTCATATGAACTAAAGGAGGATGGATATATTGTACCACCAGTTCTCCCTTCCGAAATCCGATGTGCAATTTCGTCGGTGAAAAATCGAACAGCACCAGGCCCGGAAAGGATAAGACCAGAACACCTGGAGCACATTCCGCCAGTCCTCGTAAACACACTGGTTCGGCTCTTCACACGTTACCTGTCTGAATGAAAAGTCCCTATTCAGTGGAATAGGGCCAGCAAAACCGTGTTATTGTTCAAAAGGTGTGACCTGCACGACATCGACAACTATCGCCCAATCTTCTTGTATGTCGTCTACAAAGTCTTCACTCGTGTCATCCTTAACAGGATTGAAAGAACACTAGACGAAGGTTAGCCATGTGAACAAGCAGGGTTTCGAAAAGGATTTGGTTCGATGGACTACATCCACACGGTAACACGGCTCATCGAAGTATCGCGAGAGTATAAAAACCGCTCTGTCTCACTTTCATCGATTTAAAGAATGCCTTTGATTTAGTTGAGATAGAAGCAGTCTTAGAAGCTCTTGATAGTCAAGAAGTCTCCTACTCATCACATATAGATTCTTCGTGAGCTGTACAAAAATTTCACAACCAAGGTATCACCATTCTAGAACGATGTTAACATTGACGTCAAAAGGGAAGTTAGGCAAGGCGATACCGTCTCGCCAAAATTATTTACCGTCACCATCCAGAACGTCATGCGATCATTGGAATGGCATAATATGGGAGTGAAAATCGGTGGTCGGCAGTTACACCATCTTCACTTTGGTGATGACATTGTCTTTATAACACTAATGATTAGCAAAGCGGAACGTATGCTTGACTACTTTGATAGACCCTGTGAAAAGATTGGTCTTCAAATAAATCTCACAAAAACGATATTCATGAGTGACGGATTGGTTTCTTATGCCCCATTCACGCTCAGCGCAACGAATATCTCCGAGTGCTCCAATTATGTGTATCCAGGTCTTGAAATCAATACGATAAACGACTTAGCTCCAGAGCTGAGCGTAAGAAAACGAGCGGCTTCGGGAACTTTCAAGAGCATCGAGGATGTAGTGAAGAGGACAAAGAACACCCGACTCCGTGCCGACATTATCGACTCAATGGTACATCCTGCCCTAACGTATTCATCAGAAACCTGGTCGCTGCGTGAGCAGGATGGAAGTTCACTCAACGCTATCGAACGCGCAGTCGAAAGAACGATACTAGCAGTTTCCCGTTCCACACAACTAGGGGATGGGATCTAA